TGGTTAGATTGGTGAATGATGATTCTTCATTATCATCAACTTTGAGTTCATTGTTCGGCTTGGTTGACATACAAGCATTTTGAAGAATTGATTTTTGCAGACTAGCACTATTTCCCTACCTTTTGTCTCTTCATCGTTGCAACTTGCTAACTTCGTCACGAAGTCACATCCGGTTCATCCTTTTTGCTTGCTTGACAAACTCTCGTTGCTTCTTGTTATAGAATCGTGAGTTTGAAAGGGGATGTTAATCTAATAAATAGATTAGTTTAAGGGTAGTTTAGTCATTCTAGTTATTTACTTGTAGGACTATTTAAAGTCTCCATTTCCTTGTATTTGAAAACACTCCAGCAATGTAGAAACCCTAGCCCCCTTTCGTTTTCCCTCTCCCTTTTGTATTGTTAGCTTTCACATGGTATCAGAGCCTTGGGTGGTCGGAGGAATAGGATGAGGGCGTCCGGCAGTTTTCTTCCTCGTCGTCGGATTCCTGCTCATGGGTGTTTTCTTCGGACTCGGATTCGGCACTCCGCATCGTAGAGAAGCTGCGTCCAGGAGAGTATGTGGTAGAAATAGTATTTCATCTGGTAATTTTATGTTCCTTGTTTTCTATGGTATAATCATTGGTGCATAATCATTCCGTACTGTCTGGTTTATATCCCTATTTCTTCTGGTGGGGACAATTTGGTTTTGTGTTGATTTAGTTGGTTGTTGTGGCTGCTGGAACTGTGGTGAATGAAATCGGGGAAGATGATGAAGTTGTAGTAGGGCTTGGAGTTGATATTTTTCTGGTTAATGGATTAGTGGGTTATGGGTATTGGCCGGTGGACTTGGCTGAGATAAAAAGGGAGTTGAAGGGGGTGGAGTTTGGTCTGTTCAGGCAGCCAAGGTTGTCGGTTGTGCCGGTGGAGGAGGATGTTTTAAAAAAAAAAAGGTTTCTGGCAGATTGGGTGTTTGTTTTGGAGTATTTAACATTGCAATTAGTATATTGATTGTGCCAGAGTTTTTGAACAAAAAGCTGTTGTTACAGAAGTTAAAAACTGAGAAAAAATGGGAAAAGGTATTGTCTTTGAATTCGAATGGTTTGTTTGATTTTGAACAGGTTGTTTTAATGGGCTATAGGTTTTGATTTTGGTGGTTGGCTATTGGCTGTTTTGTTGATGATTATTTGTTTAATGGGTTGGTTTCGTTTGTCAAGAGCTTTGCTGGGAAGGACCCAAAAAATTGGATGCTTAAAGCCTCTTACAGTGCGATGGGCCTCTGGATGAACATTGAGCCTTTGACTGAGGTAGAGTTCCTAATCAGGGGATAATTTCTCTTTTTGGTTGGTTTTTCTTGCACTTATTTGTTGTCGTGCTTCATGCATACTTACTATGGAACTTAAAATGGAGAACAGGGGTTTGAAAATGGGTTATCAATTGAAGGATTTCTATGTATTGAATGAAGTTTTGTTGATAAAAAAAAAAAAGATTGAAAATTTGGTTTGTTGCCCAGTTTATGGGATTGGAAATTTGGTTTGGTATGTGCCCGGTTCACGGGATTGAGAATTTGGTTTGCTACATGTCCAGTTTATTTGAAATTTGGTTTAGTACATGTCCGTTTATCTGGAATTTGATTTGGTGTTGGTTCAGTGTATTCGAAATTTAAAATTTGCATCAAGTTCATTTGGTATTTGTGGAGCTAGAATTTGAAATTTGCACCGGTTTGGTTAGATTTGTGGATAATGATTTTTCATTATCATCAACTTTGAGTTCTTTGTTCGGCTTGGTTGACATACTAGCATTTGTGAAGATTTGATTTCTGCAAACTGGCACTATTTCCCTACATTTTGTCTCTTCATCGTTGCAGCTTGCTAACTTCTTCACGAAGTCACATCCGATTCATCGTTTTCGTTTCTTGCTTGACAAACTCTCGTTGCTTCTTGTTGTAGCATCGTGTGTTTGAGGGAGAATGTTAATGTAATAAATATATTATGTTAAGGGTAGTTTTGTCTTTTATATTTCCTTTGTTTTGTAGTATATAAACTCATTTGTATATTTACAATTTGCCCTAATTTTGGAGGCTCTAGAATCGGTTTCTCTCTTCTTCCTCTTTTGGTTCTTCTTCTCCTTTGTTTGATTTAGCATTATGGTTTGTATTGTTCACAATGAACACAGTTGTTACTTTACCTACACAATTTACAGTATTGCACTTCTTCGACCATAATTTTCTGAAANAACTAATGAATTTAAAGACATTAAACTTATTATTTTCGTATGTTGAAATCCATTGACAGTCCGCTGCATCATCTCACCACAGCTCCAATCGACCCGATCTAGCCTGTAAAAAATTGTAGAAGTGGGTATTTTAAAAACATTTAGTAAGATACGTACAGTTTCCATACGCAATTACATAACAATAACATAGACGATTCATACCACATTTCTCTTTGTGGAGTATATCGATGACCAAGCGAGATACCCATTATTTTTCATTTTGAATTCCCGGAGGATTTCACATTTTATTATAAAGAACCCAAAAGAGTTCACATTCCGTTATCTTATCTTCCTCCCCACCTGGTGCACCTTGCCCAACCATGGGTCAAGTCCAATTTTGCCCAGCATGCAATGAATTCATGGCTGCAGTTAGGGCTCTGTGAGAACAATCTGGAATGAAAGTCTCTGATGATTGCATTTCTTCAGGTGATAAGGCACCACTTATTTAGATACTTTGAAAAAATGAGTCTTTGGTTGGTATGATTTGATGGCAATCACTTGTCCCCAATGCAGTTCACTTTAGGCGCAGATGGGAAGAACTGGTAAAAGTCACTTTATTTGTTCTTTCTCGGTTAGATGCATATATTTGGGTGAATCCTTTGTAACTTCTATCTGATTGTTTACTTTGTTGGCTGCTATTATAATTTAATCTGTTGAGTAAAGATGAATTCTTGTTTTTGGTACTAATTTATGTTGTCGTGGAATTTGTAGATTTGCAAGAATATCTGTTTTTAATGCGTTCTGTTTATTCATGGATTTGGTAAAGGAAAAAGGAATGGCCGTGCTCAAAATTTTCAGTATAAAATCTCGTAGTAGGAAGATAAAAGAGAAATAGTTTGTCTATTAAAGGCATTTTTCAATTTCGTCTCCCTCCTATCATAGTTTTTCTTAGTTCCAAATAGGAATTCAGATTATTTTTTGTGTCCGATTCTCATCAGTATATGGTCTTGTGCAGCTTCACAGATTAGCTAGTGTATCTGAAATTCTTTCGACAATAGAAACAGAAGGTACTGATGAAACTTCCTGCTCTAAGCAGTGTAATTTAAACTATTATTCATGTGTAATTTAGAACGTGACTTCATTTACAATTTCAGAGATGCAACACTGAAGAAGAGAGGGATGAATCAACCATTTATATCACCAAACATGAAATATAATAGGATTGTTGGAGATAGTGAAAATCAAAATCCCAATTTTTCGACCCCTCCAAATCGCAAAGGTTGTATGATGAAATAGGCAATCAAATCAATCACTGAGAGGAAGAAAGAGACCGATAATATCACGATAATGAAAAATCAAGCACCGAGGCTGAAAAGTACTTTGTCAGCCCGGAATTTGTTTTCTGGTGGCGATCTACTGAATAAGGTTGCAGAGTTCTGCAATGAGTTGAAGAAATTGGCAACGAGGGGAAAGAATAGTGCTGAAAATGTGAATGGGAGAAATGCGGAGAAGCATTTGGTTGACCATTCACGAGATTTGGACGATAAAGAAAAGGAAAGGAAGCCACTCCTTCAGTCAAGTCAAGTAAAAAGTGAAGCGACTGAGAAGAGCTACTCAAAGGAGAAGCAAACAAGGAAAAAGTAAATTTCTCCTTTTTCTTTCTTGGTTTTATATGTACCTATATTTGTTCTGCATGCATATAAATAAAGGAAGTTTAGTGATGTATAATTGGCATAAAGGTGTACTCCACTAAATATACATTGTGTAATATCTCAATAACCTTAGAGAGAACCATTTTTGTATGCTTGATGCAGAAGAAATGATGATGCAGAGAATACTCCCATCGCTGTGGATGTGAAGTTATTGGCAAAGTTGGGGCAAAGAACACCTTTCATGGTTGAGCTGGGGCAAAGCTCTTCGAGACGAGCCACTGGAACACCAATAAAGAAGTTATTGGCAGAAGAAATGTGAAAAGAAACTGATGTTAAAAGACTCTCGTCTAGTGTTATTTCCAGAATATGCCATTGGTGATGAAAAACGGCTAATGCAAGTTCTTTTAAATGTAGTGGGAATGTTGTGAAGTTCTTAGGGTAACATTTTCATATCTGTTGCTGTTTGTCCAAAATTTTATTCCTAATTTTATTTCATTTAGAAACTCATTTTTATTTAGGTGATGTTGTATTACATTTTAATGTTCAAGTGTATGGATTCAAAAAATTTTAATGAAATTATTAATTTTTATGCAATTTTAAAATTTGTTCAAAAGGAGTATTTTCAATTTTTTCGATCAATTTATATAAATTGTTTACATAAAAAAAAAACCTATAATATGACCTACGTAAACGTTTAAAAAACGTTGACGTAGGTCTTTGGCAACTTTTTTAAACGTTGTCGTATGTTTCTACTCTACGACAACACCTTGATTTGTAACACACGTTCAAACGTTGCCGTATGTTGTAGTGCATAAAATTGTATAAAAGAGCCTAGTATTTATACGGAACATGTAGGGGATGTCCAAACCGTCATAGTAGAGTTGTTAATGAAGTAATATACCAAACAATCGAGTCCAAAATAAATTACAACTCCAAATAAGTTTTCAAAATAAAATTTCAACTTGACATAGGATTCCAATAGCATTCCAAACTGAATTTTTCTTGATGTGCACTTCAATTAGAATTCTTCAATTACTTCAACAAGGAATTCAAGTCACAACCAAATTCTAACATGTTATATAATCAGTTTTATAACCAATTATTATCTCTTGTCACCGTTTGTATTGTGTCATGTCATCAGAGTGCTTAACATAAGTAAAGCACCAATGCTTATGAGATCAGTTCTATATATATATATACCGTTGTAAAGAAAATTGGATCTTGATAGCTCTTAGTAGTAAGTGTTCTGATACCGTAAACTTAATTTTGTGGAATAATGTAGTTAACTAATCCTACATTAAAGTTCGGGTAAAAATTCTCTATGACCACTATACTTTCAACATTATTTCTCAACAATAGTCCAACTTTGAAAAAATTCAGAATATTCACATTCACAGTACTTTTAAAGTTGTTTTCACAACGTTCACTTAATTAAAAAAAAAATTTATTGTAATTTTAAAGTTGTTTATTAGTAATTGTATTTTTAATGTTGTTTTCCATCTATCACTCCAGACCATTTGAAAAATTAAATATTATTTTTGCTTATTTGTAAATGGAACGAGATGGAGAGGTTTTTAACCCGTGCAAGCATCTTGTACAGGAAAACAGAATAAAAACCTATACAATGGAAACAATAAATACAATAGAGGAATACACTATCATGAGGCAGTTGCAACTTGCAAGTATAAATTCGACTAGTAAAAAACAAATGGGATGAGGACAAGCCCTAAAAAAAAAAAAAAAAAAAAAAAACAAAAACAAAAAAAAATAAAAAAAAAAAAAAAAAAAGTC